GGGGTGATTTCTCGCTTTCTGTCTCTCTGTCTCTCTTTGTCCTTCTGCCCTATAGCAAATAAAACTCTCCAAAAAATATATTTTTTTTTTCTAGAGGGCATGTGCACTCCCTGAGAGAGAGGGAGAGAGAGGTAAAGCAAGAAAGTACCCCTGTGGGGCGAGGTCACCCGCAGTCTCTTCTCCCCCCATCTCGCCCTCGTGTCAGGTTTGGGGCACATACACCCACACGCCCAGCATGAGTCTCAAACTGTCAGATCCAGGACGCGAACCATGTGGTCGGCCATGTGGAATCTAGCTATCATTTTTTTTTTTTTTAAAGAGAGATTACTGTTGTAGGGCCCATGTGGTTGCTGGAGAGACAGAGACAGAGAGCGAGAAAATCACCCCTCAGGAGGATGGCCATGCCACGATCCCTTCTCCTCCGTTCTCCTCTCAGGATTTTGGACACACACGCACATGGGCCTGGCGTGAGTTTTAAGCTGCCGGGTCCGGGACTTGACCCATGTTTGACTATGTGGGAGTCCAGCGCCGTAACCATTACGCCATCTCCTGGTCCCGAGGTAAGCCACCTTACCCACCAGGCCATGGGCTGGGCCTGGCTTGTGCTCTGTCTGCGTATCTGACGGCCCTCCCTCTCCCCCACCCGGACGGTGTGCTCACAGGAAGGAGGCCCAGGTCCCACAGGGGACACGAACCGTCACACAGAAACGTGCCCATCCGGGCTGTCCTCTGCCCCTCCCTTGGCGACCTCGTGCCCTGGCTGGGGAGACAGCCTTCTGGCGCGGGGCTCCAGGGACACTCACCGAGGGGTAGGTGTAGCCGTCCTGGTTCTGGCAAATGTGGACCTCGTCTTCCGTGGTCTTCTGGTACACGGGGTTGTCGAAGTTGATGCTGTTGATGTTTTTCAGCCGCCAGCTCTTCCAGAGGAGGAAGGCTCCGAAGCAGAGGAGGGCCAGGAGGGCTGTGGGGACAGGAGGCCTGGACGGTCACAGGGCTGTCCCCATACCCTCGCCTAGGCCCCGACTCTGCAGCCAGAACGACCTCGTCAGTATCATGGGGTTGACTCCTCGCCTGCCTGCTGGCTGTCTTGCTTTCTTTCTTTCTTTTCTTTTTAAAGAATTATCTTACTTTGATCAAAGAGAGACAGAAAGTGAGAAAGCAAGCTGCCAGGTCCGGGACTGGAACTGCAGTCAGCCAGGTGGGAGTCCAGTACCCTTAACCACCACGCCACCTGCTGGCCCCTGCTGGCTTTCTTTCACTCACCAGAGAGAGGGGGAAAGAGAACCCCCCCCATGGGTATGGCCATACTCTCTCCACTCTCCTCGCAGGATTTTGCACTTAAGCAGACGTGCCCTGCGTGATTTTCAAGTTTCTGGGTTCAGGGCCTGAACTGTGGTAGACCATGTGGGAATCCTAACGCTTTAACCTCCACGCTACCCGCGGGCCCAATGTATGTGTTTTAAACTACATGCTATGGCGCCAGCAGGTGGTGTGGCGGTTAGGGTTCTGGACTCCCACGTGGTCATCTGTGGGTCAAGTCCCAGACCTGGCTGCTTGCTTTCTCACTTTCCTCTTTCTGTCCGTCTTTCTCTGTTGAGTGCATGTGCCCTATAGCAAAATTCTTTAAATAATATAATAGGGGGCAGGCAGGTAACACGGAGTTTAAGGCACTGGGCTCCCACATGGCCAACCATGGTTCAAATCCCAGACCTGGTAGCTTGCTTTCTCATTTTCTGTTTCTGTCTCTCTCTGTCTTTCCTTGGTTAAATAAAATACTACTACTACTAATAATAATAAATAAAATTAAGCAAAAGAAAAATCTTTTAAAAATATATAATAAAATTAAATAAATAATTCTTGTTTTTAAAGAATTAATTTATTTATCTTTCTTTCTTTATTTATTTTAATTAGACCAGAGAGGGACAGAGTGAGAGAGAGAGAGAAAGAGGGAAAGTGAGAAAGCAAGCCACCATGTCTGGGACTAGAACTACGGTTGACCATGTGGGAGCCCAGCACCTTAACCACCACCCCGCCTGCTGGCCCTGAATAAATAATCCCCCGCCTGCTGGCCCCCGAATAAATAAATAAGAAAAAAAGAAAAGAAAAGAAAGTGCATGATGAAATCTCCCGTAGTCCCACTCTGTCCTGCGTGGGAGGTGAAACTTCCCTTTGTCCAGACTTCCCTCCTGCTAGTCTCTCTCTAGTGGTTTTGGTTTTCGGACTGAACGAGTATGGTGTACACAGGGTTCCCTGTTATCCTGGATAAGGGGGCTGCATACTCGCTCAGTGAATAAACTGAGAAAGGAGGGCATGGTGTGATGGCCAATCAGCCCAGCTGGCTGAGGTGACGCTGCAGAGGCCGTGAACCCTGGGGACCCTGAGGATACTCACCGATGGGGAGGACGATGGACAGAACCCCCGCGCTCCTTGGCTTCTCCTCATTTCCTCTGCTGGCGACGTCACCCATGACTGGGGGGAAGAAGGGGTACAGTGAGGCCCAGATCCAGGGGGATGGCCACACAAGCCAGAGAAGACACAGGATGACAGCTCCTCCCCACCGTGACTTGGCTCCCACCCTGGCACGACCGAGATATCTTAGAAAATCTCCCACCATTAGGAGAAGCCGTACGATGGCTTATTTGTGAATAACTGGGGTTACAAGTGTCAATGCTTTTTCTTTTTTTTTTTTTGATAGGTTTTTGCTATGGGGCCCATGTGTTGCCTAGACACAGAGAGAAAGAGAGACAGGAAGTGAGATATCAATCACCCCCACAAGGGGGGATTCCCATGGTGCAATCCCTTTCCCTCCATTCTCTTCTTGGGATTTTGAGCAAGCGTGCACACACGCCTTGTGTTTTAAGCCACCGGGTCCAGGCCTCGAACCGTGGTCGGCCATGTGGGGAGTCCAGCGATGTAACCCTTATGCCATCTACTGGTCCCATGAGTGTTGACGCTATTTAAGAAGGTCCTTTAGGGTCAGCCTATGATGTGGTGGTTATGACCACTGGATTCCACCAGGCGGAGGTGCATTGGTTCAAGTCCCAGACCACGCAGCTTGAATTAAACATGCCAGACACATGTGCATGCCCAGAACCCAACAAAATGGAGAAATGGAGGAGGAATCGTGGTGTGTCCATATCCCAGTGGGGGATGCTGTGTCCCTTTCCCTCACCTATATCTCCCTGGTGAGGACATGAGCCCTGTGGCAAAATTTTAAAAAACAGTAATTGGGGGCCAGCTGGTAGCATAGTGGTTAAGGCACTGGACTCCTATATGGTAGATTGTGGTTCAAATCCCAGACCTGGTGGCTTGTCTTCTCACTTTCCCAGTCTCTCTGGTCAAATTAAAAAATAACAATAATAGGGACCAGCAGTTGGCTATGTCACTGGACTCCCATGTAATCGACCACAGTTCAAGTCCTGGATCCGGTGGCTTAAACTCATGCTGGTCACGTGTGCATGCGTGCCCAAGATCCCAAGAGGAGAATGGAGGAGAAGGGATTGTCCTCCTAGGGAGCGATTTCTTACTTTCTATCTCTCTGTCTCACTCTCTCTCTCTCTAGCGAGTGCACACGCCCTATAACAAAAACCTCTCCAAATAATAATAACAATAAGAAGAAGAAGAAAGGAAATTAAATAAATAATTCTTAAAAATAAAATAGCAATAGGGGCCCGGTTGGTGGTGTGGTGGTTAAGGTACTGGACTCCTACATGGTTGATCATGGTTCAAGTCCTGAACCTGGTGGCTTGCTTTCTTACTTTCTCTTTCTCTCTCTCTCTGTCTGGTCAAATTTAAAAATTAAAGAGTAAATAATAAAAACAAGTAAAAATAAATAAATCATTCTTAAAGGAAATAGTGATAATTTAGGTCCACGGTGGGCTCTTTGAGGAGCCTTTTCCATTAAAGGGCTCCCCCATCAAAGCCAAACACCCTATCTGCAAAATGGCCTTTTAAGCAACACCCTCCCCCACTGTGGGCGAGGTTTCTGCATTCCCTAAACCACAGCAGTTCCATTTCATCTCATTCACTGCCGAACAAAGGCTTCAGCTAATGTGGAAGGAAAAAAAAAAAAAAGGTCTGAATCTTGCTGATCTGCCTTTTTTTTGGGCGGAGGCTGGAAAAGTCTAACAGCTCCATTCCCAGTTCCTGAGAACCGGCCGGGCGCCCTCTGGTGGGCAAATGAATGAACTACCGTCCCATTCCCAGACAAGCAGACAAGGCAGGCTGGGCCACCCCAGTGACCGCCAAGGACCCTCCTAGAGAGTTCAGTTACGCCCCTGCTGCACCACCACGGGCCCTGCAGCGCTCTCTGTTTTATTTTATTTTTTTTGGAGGGATTTTTGTTACAGGGTGTGTGTGCTTGCCAGAGAGGCTGAGAGGGGAAGTGAGAAGTCACCCTCCAGGGGGGATGGCCATGCTGCAATCCCTTCTCTTCCACTCTCCTCTCGGGATCTTGGGCAGGCACACACACGTGCCCAGCGTGAGTTTTAAGCCACCGGGTCCAGGACTCGAACTGTGGTCGACTACATGGGAGCCCAGCGACATAGCCATTACACCAACTGCTGGTCCCAGATGAGGCCCATTTTATCGGTTGGGAAACTGGGGCTCATAGGTCCACAGTCCCGAGTCGGAGATGGTCAGTGAGGGAGCCAGGAGTCCACGCAGGCCACGTCTTCGCCGCCCAGCCTTACCGTGGTGGGACATGGTGACCGTCTCTGCTGTGCTGAGGTCTGGGAGGGCACCGGGCCGCCGGGTGGTGCTGGCTGTGGGCCGACTGGCTGTGTGCTTTGGCTTCATGGCTGTGGCGGTCACTATGGGCTCTGCGTCTGGAAAAATGGAAAAGCCCTCCCTGAGTGCCCTGTGCCCGCACACCGGGGAGGACGCCGCGTCGGCCACACAGACGGAAAGCAAATTCCCCTTGAAGGATCTGAGAACTCTGCGGTGACACTACACACATACTTTCACATTTCTCTCCTGCGTAAGTGTGATTTACAGGGAGAGAGAGAAGACCCAGCGTCATGTCACAGGCGGCCCTGTCTCCCCAGCCCCCGGCTAGTCAGGACCTCAGACACGCACACCTGGCACATGTCAGGTCAACTCCGGAGGCAGCCCCGCGACAGCCCTGTGGCTTCCAGGACCACGCCTGCGCCATGGCAACCGGGGCTGTCTCGCATGTTGTCCTTTGAAAGAGTTAAGTGTTAGAATGAGAAAAGTGCTATTGGGGGACCAGCAGGTGGCGTGATGGTTCCGGCACTGGATTCCCACACAGGCAAACATGGTTCAAGTCCTACACCCGGTGACTTAAAACTCACGCCAGGCATATATGTGTGCGTGCCCAAGATCCCGAGAGGAGAATGGAGGAGAAGGGATTGCAGCGTGGCCATCCCCCCTGGGGGTGATTTCTCGCTTTCTGTCTCTGTCTCTTTAGCAAGAACACATCCCTATACCAAAAATCTCTTTAAAAAAAAAAAGAGAGAGAGAGAGGTGCTATTGGGTCAGCAGGTGGCATGGTAGTTAAGGTACTGGACTCCCACGTGGCCAACTACAGTTCAAATCTCAGATCTGGTGGCTGGAAAATCACACTGGGTGCGTGTGTGTGTGCATGCTCAAAATCCTGGGAGAATGGAGGGGAAGGGATTGTGATGTGGCCATCCCGCCTGGGGGGGTGAGTTCTAACTTTCCTTCTCTCTGTCTCTCATCTCTCTTTCTCTGGTGAGCATACACGCTTTATAGCAAAGAACTAAAAATAAAATAAAAGTAAAATAAGGGACCAGCAGGTGGTACATGGTTATACCACTGAACTCCCACGTAGTTGACTACAGTTCTAGTCCTGGACCCGATGGCTTAAAACTCATGCCAGGCACGTGTGTGTGTGTGCACGTGTGTGCCCAAAGTCCTGAGAGGAGGATGGATTGCAGCAATGGCCATCCCCCGGGAGGTGATTTCTTGCTTTCTGTCTGGCAAGCACCTGTGCCCTATAGCAAAAATTTTTCTTAAAAATAAAATACAGGGGTCGGCAGGTGGTGTGGTGGTTAAGGCACTGGACTCTCACATGGCGGACCATGGTTCATGTCTTAGACCTGGCGGCTTGCTTTCTCACTTTCCCTCTCTCTCATTCGCTCTCTCTCACTCTGCCCCTCTCTGGTCAAATTAAAATAGATAAATAAATAAATAAAGTTAAATTTAAAAAATAAAAGAATTCTTTTAGAAAATATATAAATTAATTAACGTAAAATAAAATCACATCTATTGAGGCACTAAGAAAGAGGCAACGGGACATATGAAAGAGGACCTGGGGGCCAGCAGGTGGCGTGGTGGTTAGGGGCGCTGGACTCCCACATGGCTGATTGTGGTGCTAGTCCCAGACCTGGTGGCTTTTTTTTCTTTTCTTTTCTTTTGTTGAGACGTTTTTTGCTATAGAGCGCATGTGTTCGCCAGACAGAGAGAGACAGAGACAGAAATTGAGAAATCACCCTCGGGGGGGCGGTGGCCACACCGCAATCCCTTATCCTCCATTCTCCTCTCGGGATCTTGGGCATGCACGCACACGCGCCCGGGGTTGAGTTTAAGCCACCGGGTCCGGGACACGAACTGTGGTCAACTACGTGGGAGTCCAGCGAATGAATGAATGAATAAGTAAATTACAGCAAATAAAAAAGCAAAACAAAACAAAAATCCCACAAAGGGGACCTGGGCGTCAATGTCCGGTCCATTGCTGGCCCTGGACTGGAGAGAGACAAGGCCTGATACGCCCTCCGTGGGCTCAGGACACCCGTCGGACAGATGGGCACGGAGAGGCCGGCGGTAGGGCCGAGCAGCGGCGGCCGGGGCAGGCGTGGCCCTCACCTGTGCGGCAGCTCCTCATGTCCTTGGCCAGAGACGAGCCATCCGGGCAGGCGCAGGTGAACTTGGGTGAGTGGGGGTTGATCTGCGGGGCCGGGAGGCACAGGTACTGGCAGGGGGCAGCGTTGTCCTCTCACACCAGTTCACGCCTGGGAGGAGAAGCCCGAGTCAGAGGGGACGGAGAGGGCGGCGGCACCGAGCAGGGCTCCGCCCCGGCGAGCAAGTCCCCGCGCCCGCGCGCCCAGCCCTACCTCTCGGCTGCGTGAGGTTGTGGAAGAGGACCAAGTCTTCCGGGGAGTGCAGGTTTTCCACCAGCAAGTGAACATCCGAGCCCGTGAGGCGATTGGCACTGAAGATGGCTTCGTTCAGGATGTCTGTCCAAAACACTTTGTCCTGTGAGCAGAGGGAGGGTGACAAGGCCCATGAACCGCGCGGCTGCGGAACAGCCCTCTTCTCCCCAGCTACCCGCTCTGGGGGGCTTTTCACAAAGCATGAGATGGCAGTGATTTCTTTCTTTCTTTCTTTCTTTCTCTTAAAAAGAATTCTTTTATTTTGGGACCAGCAGTTGGTGTAATGGCTATGTCGCTGGACTCCCACGTAGTCGACTGCAGTTCAAGTCCCAGACCCAGTGGCTTAAACTCACGCCGGGCGTGTGTTCGTGCCTAAGATCCCGAGAGGAGAATGGAGGAGAAGGGATTGCGGCGTGGCCATCCCCCCGGGGGGTGATTTCTCACTTTCTGTCTCTCCTTCTCTGTCTCTCTGACAAGCGCACATGCCCTATAGCAAAAAGCTCTCCAAAAAAAAAAAAATTTTATTTTAACTTTTTAATTTTAATTAATTATTTCATTGATCTTATTTATTTACTTATTTATTTATTCATTTTTTAATTTATTTGTGTCTTTGTTTGACCAGAGAGGGACAGAGAGAGCAAGCTGCCAGATCAGGGACTCAAACTGCAGTTAGTCAAGAGGGAGTCCAACACCCTTAACCACCACGCCACCTACTGGCACCTCTCTTCCTTTCTTTTTTAAAAGGATTTGCTACAGGGTGTGTGTGCTTGCCAGAGAAACACAGAGACAGAATGTGAGAAATCACCCCTCCACACCACAATCTGTTCTCCTCCCTTCTCCTCCTGGGAATTTGGGCACGCACGCACATGTGCCCGGCATGATTTTCAATTGGCCAGGTCTGGGGGAACTATGATTGGCCACGTGGGAATCCAGCATCTTAACTGCTACACCACCTGCTTGCCCCCCCCCCCTTTTTAAGAGGTTTTTGCTATAGGGCGCGTGCGCTCACCAGACAGACAGAGAGAGACAGAGAGACAGAAAGCGAGAAATCACCCCCCAGGGGGGATGGCCACGCCGCAATCCCTTCTCCTCCGTACTCCTCTCGGGATCTTGGGCATGCACGCACACGTGCCTGGCGTGAGTTTTAAGCCACTGGGTCTGGGACACGAACCACAGTCGACTACATGGGAGTCCAGCGACATAGCCATTACGCTAACTGCTGGTCCCTGGTTTTGTTTTTACTGTAGGGTAAATGCACTCACCCAAGAGAGACGGGGGAAGGGGGGAATGAGAAGTCAACCCCCAGAGGGGTGGCCACGCTGCAATCCCTTCTCAGCTCTCCTCCTGGAATACTGAGCACCCACACACAGGCCTAGTATGCTTGTCAAGCCATGGGGTCCACGACTCGAACCACAGTCAGCCATGTGGGAGTTCAGCACCTCAACCGCCATGCTGACCCCAGGGAGTCTAGAATGGACTAGGTACTGTGTGTGTCCAAGGGCTGGTGATTCGTAATGAAGTTGCTCAGAAACTGACATTAGCTGAGCAGTCACTCCGGCTGCCAGGCCTCACCTCGAAGATGGCCAGGGAGAAGGGGTGCGCCAGGCTCTTCTTGTCCTCCAAGACAGTCTTCCGGTTGCCCCCATTCACATCGATGCTGGAGATGGAGTGGAGTTTGGAGTCGACCCAGTAGAGGCGGCCATTGGAAAGATCTAGAATGCACAGGGAGACAAGAGGAGGTCACACACCGATGCCAGAGGGCAGAGGGCTTTAGACCTGGCTACTCTGCTACCTGCAGGAAGGACTCCCCCAAAGAACCAGACACAGTATGGAACCAGCAGGTGGTGTAACGGTTATGTCTCTGGACTCCCACGTGGCTGACCGTGGTTCAAGTCCTAGACCCAGTAGCTTGAAACTCATGCTAGGCACATGTGTGTGCATGCCCAAAATCCCGAGAGGAGAATGGAGGAGAAGGGATTGAGGCACAGCCATCCCCCAGGAGGGGTGATTTCTCGCTTTCTGTCTCTCTGTCTCTCTCTCTTTCTGGTAAGCGCATATGCCCTATAGCAAAAACCTCTCAAAAAAAAAAAAAAAAAACCAAAAAAAAAAAAAAAAAAAAAAAAAAAAAGAAAAAGAGAAGAAACCTGGGTGGGACCAGCAAATGGCCAAAGGGTTCCATCACTGGACTCGTACATGGTCGACCAAGGATCAAGTCCTCGGCTTAGTGCCTTGAAACTTATGCTGGGTCTATGTGTGTGCACCTGTGCCCAAAATCCCAAGAGGAGAATGGAGGAGAAGGGGTTGAGGCATGGCCAACCCCCCAGGGGGTGATTTTTCACTTTCTGTCTCTGTATTTCTGATAAGCACATGTGCCCTGCAGCAAAAATCCCTCAAACAAAACAAAAAAAGTCTCTTTCTTCCTGTCTCCCTCATAAAGGGGGAAAAATATAATGACATTTCTGGGAGCCACACCTGTCACTGGCCACCCCTATCTGTGTCCAGACCATGCTGAGAGCCCCCCAGGGGAAATGACGGTCCCCCAGACCTACCCAGGGTGATGCCGTTGGGCCACTGGATGTCTTCTGTCACCAGCGAGTAGACGTCCACACCATTCAGCCCCCCTTTCTCAATCTTGGCGGGAGTCCCCCAGTCTGTCCAGTACATGAAGCTGGGAGGCAACAGCGAAAACAGCCATGAGGAAGGCAGGCCCCGAGGCTCCCCCCAAAGCCCACGGGGAGCATCATCCTAAAAGAGCCCTCTGGGAGGGACCAGCAGTTGGCGTAACGGTATGTCGCTGGACCCCCATGTAGTCGACCGCGGTTTGAGACCTAGGCACGTGTGCATGTGTGCCCAAGATCCTGAGAGGAGAACGGAGGAGAAGGGACTGCGGTGTGGCCAACCCCCCTGGAGGGTGATTTCTCGCTTTCTGTCTCTCTGTCTCTGTCTTTCTGGCGAGTGCATGTGCCCTGTAGCAAAAACCTCTCCAAAAGAAATAATAATAACAAATGGAATTAATTAAATAAATAAATATTTAAATAAAGAAGACAGAGAGAATCAGGCACCCTGACAGGGTCCCAGTACACGGAGACCCTCTCTCAGCTGGAATCGTGGGCTCGCGTGTGTGCCCCCCGTGTGTCCAGATGGACCTGAACCCCCAACCTGGGGCCTTGTCACATGGCTGCAGCACTGCGCACTGGTACCCCACGGCCTGTGCCCCCTTGGCTGAGCCCGGATAGGGCTCCTTCCCTTCCTCTGGCCCCCCCAAATCAGACAGCCTGAAGATCCCCCGTGTTCTCCCCAGACGGAGCCCTACTCCTCCCAGTGGTGGCGGCCATCCCGGGTTGCATCCCTGAGTTGTGAAATCCACCCCTCCTGTGTGCAGGGTGCAGATGTCGCCTGATAAGTCCAGAGTACGTGAGGTGGGGACGGCTGATGCCTCCTGCCAGGGAACACCGCTCAGCTGCTGTGTCAGCTGCCGGGGGCGGTGACCTGCACTCGCCACTCTGACCCAGAGCCTGGCAGGCAGGAGGCTCCCCCAGCCAACTTCATGGAGACGTTCATAGTGTCACCTTTCCTGACTGGGACTGCCACGAAGACACTGTTTACACTTGTATATACATTTTTATGCGTGTTTGTCAGAGACAGAGACAGAGAGGGAAAGTACCCCCATGGGGGATGGTCGTGCTACAATCCCTTCTCCTTTTCTCCCTTCACTCAGGATTTTGGACATGCACACACACGGCATGTTTTTCAAGCTGCCAGATCAGGGACATGAACCGATACAGAAGGCAGCCCTAATATATCTTTCTTATTTTATTTTTATTTTATTTTATTTTTTTGGAGAGGTTTTTGCTATAGGGCTCATGCGCTCGCCAGAAGGACAGAGAGACAGAGAGACAGAAAGCGAGAAATCACCCCCTAGGGGTTATGGCCACGCCACAATCCCTTCTCCTCCATTCTCCTCTCGGGATCTTGGGCACGCACGCACACGCGCCCGGCGTAAGTTTAAGCCACCAGGTCTGGGACTCAAACTGTAGTCGACTACATGGGAGTCCAGTGACATAGCCATTACGCCAACTGCTGGTCCCGATATCGTTCCTTTTTAAAAATTTGCAATAGGCGAGGTCGGCAGGTGGCACAGTGATTGGAGGTGCTGGATTCCCAATGGTTGACTGTGATTTGAGTCCTGGACCTGGCAGCTTGCTTTCTCACTTTCCCTTTCTCTCTCTGGTCAAATTAAAAGTAATAATAACAAATAAAATTGGGAGCAGCAGTTGGTATAATGGCTATGTCGCTGGACTCTCATGTAGTCGACTGTAGTTCGAGTCGTGGACCCAGTGGCTTAAACTCACGCTGCACATGTGTGCATGCGTGTCCAAGATCCTGAGAGGAGAACGGAGGAGAAGGGATTGCGGCGTGGCCATTGGTCATCCCCCCTGGGTGGTGATTTCTCGCTTTCTGTCTCTCTGTCTCTTTCTGGCGAGGGCATGTGCCCTATAGCAAAACCCTCTAAGAAAAAAAAACGCAAATAAAATAAATAATTCTTCAAAAAAATAGGGCACATGCACTTGTTGGAGAGAGTCAGGACAGGGGAAGTGAGAAATCACCCCCAGGGGGATGGCCACACATCAATCCCTTCTCCTCCATTCTCCTCTCAGAATTTTGAGCACGCATGCCCAGAACACACATCCGCATGTTTTTCAAGCTGCCAAGTCTACAACTTGAACCACGGAATCAGCCATGTGGAATCCAGCGGCCTTAACCTCCTCGCTACCAGCTAGACCCCTCTTTTCCTTTTTGCTTTTTCCTTTTTTCTTTATAAATCACCAGATTCAAGTATGTCTACGACAGCAAGAGAGCATATTCTTCCTTGCAACAAGCATCCCCCAGCCTTCACTGGCTTTCGGACCCCCCAGCTGCACCCCTGCTGCTCTCTGTACCTCTGCCCTTGGGAACACCCACCCGTGAACGGGATCCACCGCGATGGCCCTCGGCTTGGAGCCGCGCTCCTTGAACAGCGTCTTCCTCTTCACGCCCTTGGTGTCGGCCACAGAGACGGTGCCCAGGATGGAGTCCGTCCAGTATATGTTGCCGTGGATCCAGTCCACAGCCAGCCCGTCGGGGGCCTGCAGGTCTCCGCTGATGACCGTGTCGTAGGAGGAGAAGCTGTGGGCTCCGTCGAGCTGGGTGCTGGGCGGAGGGAGGACGAATGTCAGGCCCGGAGCCATGGGTGCCCAGCTCTCACTGAGCCCTGGCTGTGCGGGGTGGGGTGCGGTGGGGCTCTGCGGGGGGGAGGCGGGTGGGGCTCTGCGGAGGGGAGGCGGGTGCTGGGCATGGCTGAGGGAGGGGCGGGGCTATGCAGAGGAGCGGG